TTCACGCTGACTCTGCCATTTCTCGAAGAGGGATCGTCGCTAGGTCTTGAGGCAATGTTAACATTATTTTTGAGGCATTTATTTGATATGTGGTTTGCTTATATCAAGGCGTCGGTGTAGTTTGATTGGTATCAGGAAACCTTGTCAGAAATACAACTGGATTTGGGTTGTTCATAGCTCGTGGTCTATTTTAAGTCACTCCTAAACAATTTTGTTTCTGTTAATTACGAGTGATTTAATTTGGAATATTTGGTTGTACTGAAGCGCCAAAATGTGATTCGAGCGTTTGCAGGATTCTTGTTCATGGATTTTGTTAAAAGTTATTTGATCAGTGGAAATTAATTGAATATTTAATGTTAAGTCGGGCTGCTCTAAACACAGGCAAAATTGTTACTTAAGAATGGATTGTTGCGGTTTTGGCGCATGTCCGCGGTTGGCCCAGAAAAACAATGGGATAATATTAATAAGGGATGTTGCTAGTTGAGGTTCAATCCCATGTTTGGCTGTTGTTTTCATCGAAGTCATGTGAGATACCCATATTTATTAACAAGTCCAATTCGTGGTTTAAGTGCTCACTGGTTATTATAAAGAAAACATGCTATATGTTGAACGAGAGGTTAATACCTCTGTTGGATACTTATTATTCAAATAACCGGCAACATTCATGGGTTTGATTCTATTTCAATATAAGGGATGGTACATTCAAATATACAAAATTCAGTTTGAGACATAATTCCAAACAAGTGCCTTGTAAAAATAACTAACAGATTCAGATAATTTCCAAACTTTGTTTACGTGCTACAATGATGAAGGTTTTATCTTAAAATTTGGAGTAACAATTCCACCAATAACAACAGCCCACAGGAGGCATGATACCAAGCAAATTTTCAAACACATCAGCCTTGCAAGCTAGTTCCTCAGAATCTCCAGTAAGTCGACCTGCTATGCACATAAGACTTCCTCCGGGCTTCAATCCTTCCTTTCCAATTCGATTTGAATCTCCATCTGCAATGTGAATCAAAAGGGATATGAGAATACCGTGAGTTCTAATCCTGAATAATTGATGGCATAAAATCGAGTATTCAGAGGAAATCAGATTAAACAAGTCTCAAAAATAACAAAACAAAATGAATTGAAAGAAGTTCAGCCCTCAGCTTTTATTCATCATCGGGCATGAAAATTCGAGCGGCCGGGAGAGCCGCAGCCGAAGCCTTTACCAACTCCCTACCGAACATCGAATCGCATACTGTAATTTCGGACAAAGCTCTCGACAAATTGCGAGGCCACTAATCACACAGGGGCAACCACATACACAATAGCAGTTCAGACCCAAAGGTCATCATCACCGCGTAACCTTCCCGGCGGCAGGGATCAGTTCAAAGCATCCATTCTGAAATAAGAAGAAGAAAAGTAAGTGTGTTCCAACTGGTAATCAAACCGAATAAAGGAAGTTCGTGACATTCCTGTGGCTGAAATGAATTATTCAGAAACTGCTCAAAATTTGAATATCCAACAGGAAATCTCAAAGGACCAAATTCATCAGAGCATAAAGTGACTGCTGCAAGAAAGACTACCAGATCAGCAACAGAGATGCGAGTTTATCAGTCCAGCCCTATCAAGCAAATGGCGTCGGACTGAGAGCCAAATTGGGATTCACCTGAAAGATAGTGACCCACAAGCAAAATCCATGGCAATATCAGAAATGAAAATTGGATATCAAAACAAAACAACATCAGAAGAAATCAGTTCATCAGCAATAATCCAAACTGGGTCAGAAATCGAGAGGAATCCGAACTGCACTGAAACCAGATATCCATATTTGAAAAATCCAAATGAATCCATATCTAATGAAAATCCAGAAATCAAGCAAATCGAATCAACTGATATCAGAAAAATCCATATTCAAAATCAATATCGAATCATATCAGACAAAACCCAATCTCAAAAGGAAAAAGTAACGCAAAGTCGTGTCAATCCAGGCCCACGAAAATCAGAGAGAAACATATATAAAACAAAGGGGCCATTCGAAGTAAAGAACCCTAACGCTGATCTCTACATAGAAGAAACCACAAAAGATAAAGTGACAGAACATTCTCACCAGAGGCGCGCTGTTATCAGAGAAAAGACGAACGAAGAACAACAACCGTCAACGAATAACCTCGTCACCATCAAAGTCGTCGTTATTCACGAGCGGCACGTCTGACGGCTCATTTGAACAAAATCATCGCCGTCTTCTCCAGACAACCATCAGAACCGAATCGAAATGTGAGGAACTCGAGTTACTGACGATTATTTGCATGTTTCGTTTCAGGAAACAAAGAGCAAACAATGGCCATGGCGAAAGGAGACACGAGACGGGAAAAAGCACAACGAACGGCGAATAACGAACCACGACGGCTCAGATAGCTTTGTTCAGCTCTCATCATCGCCTACAAACGCCGTCACGATCCAGAGATCCAAACGTTCAAGAGGACATTACCATCACCGATTGTCGGATCGCTGCGAACTCTCTAAAAGAGTGAGCAATCCAACTTCGAGATTTGTCAATCCTCATTTGTTTTATTGTTTTTTAGGTGGAGTTGAGAAAGAGAGAAGCGAATCGGAAGCGATAACGGAGAAGAGGAGAAACGGCGCCGCACGATGACGAAAGGAGGAAACCCTAATGGGAAGCTCCCTTCATTCCAATGCTTATTTCACAGCGAGCTAACAACAACAAGAATACTGGCCCAACCCTTTTCTTTTCTTATTATTCTTTTGATTATAATTATTGTTATTATCTTTTTTAAGATTTTTGTTAAAACTTTTCTTTATTAACTTAAAACCTCTTTTATTAACCTAAACCTTTTTTTAAAAAAAATATTAACTAACTTTTTAATAAACAAGCTATAGTAAACCTAAATTTTTTAATAAAACTCTTTTTAGATAATGAATTCAAAACCATTTCGAAAATTAAATTAAATTTTTTTAATAATATTAAATCTCTTTTTAACCTAAATCAAGACCCCTTTCTTTACACAAAAAATCCTAAATGTTGCACCTTTTTCTTGACTGTCTCGTAATTCATTTTGATTGACGCCTGACTCTGCCTACTAACATGTGTGTTCGTTTTGCAACCTTTTATGTTTACTGTTTTATTTTTCAATTCAAGTTTATTATTATTGTATCTGTTCCTCATTTGTAACCTCGCGAACCAACAATCGCGCTTACTTTCCGCATTTTTATTCCCGTTTGCATGATTTAAATTCCTCACACTTTCATCACTATTATTTCTGTCACATTGCACACATCTGAAGGTTAGGTCTAACTGTTTGGCCGCCGCGCCAATAGTCCGTAAAACTTCACACATTCAATTTCAAATCCTCAAAACTACAAACTACAAACCCTAATTTTCACAAATGCCTCGCCGCAGGCAAAATTACAATTTTACCCTTAGCATTAGGTCAAAGAGCCGCCGCGCTCATTTTAGGGTTTCCCGCCGTGGAATCCCTAATTTAACCCTAATTACAACTTAACATTTCAACGTAGAGATTTGGAGTTCCTACACTCCACGTAAGCGTGTCCTTAAGACATGTTTATTCCCCGTGAGACCTTGACCACAGTCAAGAAGTTTCTAACCTCCCTATTGAGGGGAACTACGATTACTCTGATTCCACTCCCGTAAGGATACGTAGGCACAAGATGCGATGTCTTGCCGAGTAAACTTAGAATTAACCCCCTTTATTATTTATTATTGCTTATTTATATTTTATTTATCTTTGCTATTTAATTATTTTGCTTATTATTTTGTAATTGTTTCTTGGATGTAAAGTTGTTTAATTATTTAATTATTATTATGGTTAGTAATTAGGGAGTGTAACAACCTGTATGTAATATTAAAATAAATTTAGATCACTTTTAAATAAAGATAATTAAAATAAACACGTCACACACGTAAGTCGATTTTAATCGCCGTCTCACTTCCTAAGGATATCCCTCAAGTTGCCTACGAATAATGGTTAAGTGGGGTGTATAAAGCAAGTCCCTCAAAAAGAAAATCATCAAAGTCCCTTATGGTTGCCTTTACGAATCGAGTCCCTTTCGAAAAATGATGATAGTCCCTCCAGTTTGCTTATTACACCCCTCAATGGCCTTCAAAAATCCAATTGTCCCTCACATGTCCCTTAACATCCAAAGTAAAGACTACCTACTCCATTATAGTAGGGATAGTCTTACTAAGGAAAGGATAAAGAATAAGAAAGACCTTAAAACATTAGGGTAGGCTACTCCTAGATACTTGCTCACTTCAAAACTTTTTCACACTTAAACAAATTTCCAACAAAATTTTCAAACAAGTTTTTTTCACATCCATACACGGATTATTATTAAACTATTCTGAAATTTTTTTGCTATTCACACACTACACTTTCAAAACAATTCAAAAGTGAGCTTAAGTACCTAAGAGCCCATGGATAACCATGGATGAAAAGGGTGCTAACACCTTCCCTTTTCATAACCTACCCCCCGGACCCAAAATATTCTCTAAGGTCTTTCCTGTTCTTTTATAACCTTTCCTTATGGATAAAATAAAAGTCGGTGGCGACTCTTGCTATCCGCAACATTGTTTAAAGTCAGTTCTCCCATCGTGTTACATATAGTACTACAGATGTTTAGGATGTGAAATACCTACCCTAGGCATAACCAACCCCCGATCCCCGAATCTCTTAGCGTTGTTGTTACATCGCGCAAAGGGTTTTTCTTTCTTTAACCTTTCCTTTGGATAAATCAAAGTCCAATTGTAAATTTAATGAATTAAGATTCAAGTTAATCAATAGCTTGACATCACGATTCTCACCGCAATAATGGCCCCTAAACTCTCTGACCATGTCCCAATTAGAGTTAGGGTTAGCATACAAATCCTCTTCAGAAGGTCCAACTTCAAATTCCTAAACTTTGTTACTCGAGATACTTCTTTCTTACAAGTAGTTGCTCAAATATGGCAAGAGAATGTTAAAGGATATGCAATGTATAGATTATGGAGAAAATTGCATAGATTGGAGCCAGCCATCAAGCCTTTAATAAAAAAAGTGACTGACATTCAAATCCAGAGTCAACAAGCTAGAAAAGATTTACTGCAGGCTCAAGAGCATCTCAATAGCCACTTATTTGACAGCCAGGCCATTGAGCAAGTGAAACTGTGCAATGACCACCTTATCCAGCTGAATCAAGTGGAGGAATCTATTCTTATGCAAAAGGCTAAAATTACTTGGTTGAAACTTAGAGACAACAACAACTCCTTTTTCCATGCTTTAGTGAAGGAAATGAATAAACACAAAAGATTATATACTCTAACCTCTTTAAATGGTAATGTTATTAGCACCCAAAAGACTATTGAAGAGGAAATTATTGAATTCTACAAGCTGGTGGGGACAACAACAACTGGATTAAAAGTAATTGACATACTTATTATTAGAAGGGGTAACAGTTTGTCTTGGGATAGTTCTCAGAAACTGAACAGACCTGTTGATGATAAGAAAAATTGGAATGAACTTGTTGCTATTGGAAATACCAAATCTCCAGGAATTGATGGTTTCAACTCTTTCTTCTTTAAATTTGCCTGGCCAATTGTGAAGTATGATGTCCAAGAAGCAATTATGGAATTCTTTCAAACCAAAGACATGTATCTAGCTGTTCATTGCTCTCGTGTATCCTTTAATTCCTAAAACCTCTGAGGCTGCCACCATGAAATACATGAGGCCCATTTACTGTTGTAGCATTATCTACAAAATCATCTCAAAGATCCCCACTAACAGGTTGGAAGAAGTTATCCATAAAGTTATTAATGAAATATAATAAGCTTTTATGCCAGGGAGAGCCATTCATGATAACATAATGCTGGCTCAGGAATTGATTAGAGGTTATAATAGGAAGAATATATCCCCTAGATGTATGATCCAAATGGACATACAAAAAGCTTACGATACAGTTCAATGGTCTACTTTTATTCACATCATGAATGAGTTTGGATTACCTCAAACCTTCATTGACTGGATTGTAGCTTGTGTAACAACTGTATCTTATCGTTTCTTGATTAATAGTGTTCCCTCTAAGATTGTTAAATCTAGGAGAGGATAAAGACAAGGTGATCCAATCTCACCTCTTCTATTTGTTATTATAATGGAATACCTTCATAGAACTATGCAAGGTCTTGATCTTATTCCCAACTTCATCTTCCATCCAAAGTGTGACAAGCTAAAAATCACTAATCTTTGCTTTGCTGATGATTTACTTCTCTTTGTAAGAGGTGATGTGGAATCTGTCAATCTTATGATGAACAAGTTCAGGGACTTCTCAGCAGCAACAGGCCTTAAAGCTAGCATTTGTAAATGCAAAATTTACTATGGTGGGGCGAATGACATGACTAAGCTGCTAATCAAGGAGGAAACCGTGTTTGACACTGGTAGCATGCCTTTTAATTACTTAAAGAGTTCCGTTGGCCAGTAGGAAACTATCAAATTCTATGTGCCAACCTTTGATTGATAAGTTGCTGGAGAGGATGAATCATTGGAGCACGAGACTGTTATCATATGTTGGCAGAATGAAATTGGTGAAGAGTGTGTTATTTTCTATTTCCAACTATTGGATGCAAATATTCCATATTCCTTCTATGTGTTATTCTCCATATAGAAACAGTTGGACATAGAAGTGTTTCAGATGTTATTTGATAAAATTGATTTTAATAGTATCCCAAAATGTAAATAAAAGTAAGGCTTAATTGCAACTATGGTCCCCCTATTTTTCATTTTTTTTAGGTTTTGATCTCCCCATTTTAAAATCCATTATTCTGGTCCCTATTTTAAGTTTTGAGTTTGATTTTGGCCCCTTTCCATTTTAAGACCTTTTTTAATGATGTGCAATTTCCAATATGACATGGCAATGCCATGTCATTTTAAAATTAATCCTCTTTATTTTTTAATTTGTATATACGTAATGTATTTTGATTTCATTTTCAGAAATAATACTTTAATATCACTATAAGTATGATAATGCTAAATTATACAAGTATGATAATGCTGAATTACAAGCAGGTTATGTGCCATAATGCTAAATTATAACAGGTTGTAACAAGTTGAATTGTGACTTAATGTTGAATGTTGAATACGGAATTGTAATTCATTTGCACATGTAATTCAACTTCTAAGTTTTCAAGTTTGTTATAACACAGACAACCAACTATCCAAATTATGTCAAAAAAATTTACACATCTTTGTTATAAAACATACCACCATTTATCCAAAAATTTTACCAAATATAACATAGACAACGATTTATCCAAATACATAGACAAATTATTTCATTTGAAAATGCATAGAGAAATTACATCATTTGAGTACATGTGTTGCAACTAATGCAAACACAAGTAACAACAGAAACATCATAGATAAACCCATAAAATAACACATAAACTTAATCTTCATCTTCAACAAATCTTCATTTTTCTTGATGTCCTTAATCACATCCATAAACTCTTCATTCTTGTCTTTCAAAAATCCAATGACATCTTTTATACAGCTGCTCATGTCTTCATCAAACCATTGAAAATAATTACATCATTTTTACCTATCACCTTAAAATTACCGCGACCATGAAATGTTCTTCCGGAATTCTCGTATGTCTATGATGTCATCAATGGTGACTCAAACTCACACCAACATCTATTCCTTCTTTTTCTTATACCAGATTGATTTGTTAAGGCAAATGAAAAACTTGTTGCAGACATGGTTGGATGAAAGAGACACGATGAGTTGAATTTTTTAGATACCAAACTAGGTTTGTGAAGTACATAATAAATAAAGATGAAAATTACCCCTGGGTTGAGAAAGAAATCCAAGGCGCTGAAGAATTGAAAAAGGAGGCAGTAAAGTGCCAAAGAAGATGTTAGAGTTTGATAAGATTGAAGTTTTTATATATTGTTATTAAATTATTATTTTTAAAAATAAAATCGAAATACATTATATATATACAAATAAAAAAATAAAGAAGATTAATTTTAAAATAACATGACATTGTCACGTCATATTGAAAATCGCCGCATCATTAAAAAAAATCTTAAAATGGAGAGGAGACCAAAATTAAATTCAAAACTTAAAATAAAAACTAAAATAATAGTGTTTTTTTTTACTACTTTAACATGGTTGAAAGATTATTATTATACTAATAACAATGCTTAGTTAGAGAGAGAAAGAAAAAGAAACAAGTATGTTTCTTTTGACGGTGCGAGAGAAAACAAACTATAGCCAATAATATTTGAACACATCTAAATTTTAACATTTATTCAATTAACATCTCACATTATATATACTCTATATTTCTTTTCTCAAAGTGTATATATCAACCTCGTGTCTACAGCACATGTTTTATTTTCTAAACACATGATTATTGGGCTTACAACGTTACACGTCATACTAAAGCATTGTTTAATAATTTTAAATAAAAAATTATTTATTTCAATTGTTAAATCATTGTCTGTCTCTTTACGCTATTTTTTAATCTTTTTCATAGAAAAATAGTACCAAGTATCCCATGACGAAATTCACCTTTACACGTAGTGCTATTTTTTTATTAGCATGAAATAGTCAAATGGATACATGTTGAGATATTTATAAATAGATGAGAATAAGCTAATCAATTATTACGAGCACATGGTTAGCAATTTGTGATTTTTCAAAATGGTTAAAATATTAAATTAAGGGAGACTTTTTTCATCTTTATGGATACATCTCAAATTTTTGGAAATTTAAAATTGTTCATTCTGAATGCATTTAAAATTATATAAATCTGTCTTTTTAATATTCATCATATTTTGAATGAAATATGTTTTATAGATGCATCTTCGTATGTTGTTTAGATGTATTTAAAAATGCATTTTTAAAATATTATTTTCACTCAATTATTTTATTTTTATTCATTAAATTTAATATTTTTTACACATCTTTAGATCATTTTAGATTATGAATTAGAAGGAAAATACATATACTAATTGATTCAAACATAGTATTCAATTGTGAAAAAAAAAATATATAATAAGTTGTTCCAAAAATACAAAATAATACAATCAAACAAAAATTTATTGGGTCTCTCTAACTCTAACCGTCTTCTCCTCTGCCTGTACTACAAGGCATTTCGAGCCTCGACAATCATGTCTTCCACGAGTGCCAACTGGGAACTATCATCCTCAAAAAGTCATGTCTTTATGTCTAATCTCCTCATCTCAATAATACACTGACAGACGGCTAACATGTCATCGGTGTGCTCATTCCTAGCCTTAAGTACCTCTTGGTTAGCTGATCTAGGTGATCTTCCATGAGCGCCTGGTGTCATGATAGGATGTGACACCCTATAGAACCATGTCATATAGTTGTCAGCATAGGCCTACTGTAAAGGAGTTTGCACAATGTGATACTCCTCTAGTACCAAGTGACTCTCGAAATCTTCTAATATCACATCAAGATCTTTGCAGCAGACGGTGGGAGGAGAGGACTCTGACGGGAATCTTAGAATAATTTGCAATGGCCAAACTAGTGCATCACTCGCTCAGGAAGATAAGGATACATAAAAGATGATCCATATACCAACCATCTGAAGTGTAAGGATATGACGTCCAGCGGATGTGTGTTGCAGTGACCCCGTGTGGGAAGAAGCAAATGTCATCTAGTACATGATGACCAATATGCACTCTGAATGGCTTGATCGCATTATTCTTCTTGTACCGGGTAAATGTGGCAGCACGTGGCCAGTTCTTAGTGTAGGTAGGCACAACTTCCCTCCCAATGATGCGAGGGAAGTGAGAGATGATTCATCCTTGAAAATGGTTCAGATGCAATATTAATAACAATTGTAACAAATGAATTATGAAAATATTAGTAACAGTAAATTATCGTAAACAACATGCAACTCCCTGCCATCTAGGTTGCACTTTTGTCCACAAACATGGATGTGTCAACCAAAAACAAGAGGTAACACTTTAATGCATAAGTCTGATGGTAGTTAACCTGCAGATCATCACCTTCGGCGTCCTCAGCCCACTGCATATGGTTTTTATAAAGCTTTTACTAAAAAAAAAAAAAAATCTAGCATGAGCACCTCTGGCGTCAACTACCTCATCTACTGCCTTAGTTTATTCAACCCCCAAAAGGGTGGCCATCATCTCCACGGCTTCCTCTCGACCTAGCCTTCCATGACCCAATAGTTTTCCTCTGTTGGGAAGATGCAGGAGGCATGAGATGTCATCCAGGGTGATGGTCATCTCGCCTATAGAAAGGTGGAAAAATGACGTCTCAGAATGCCATTACAGTGTAAATGTCGCTTGCATGTCATGGTTTATGGTCATGTGTGCAGCAGATCATAAACCAACAAGACCAAAAGAGTGAATAACATCAATGAACTAAGTAACAGTGGGCAGTTCCAACTCCAAATTCTTTCGGCCATTGTTTACCGATTTCAAACATGGACGCTCCTCTAAAAAAATATCACCATCAATATCTATTTAATTAGCTTAAAACATATGTATTGCAAAAGAAAATAAATATGCCTCTCATTCCCATACATGCCTAGTAGCATGATCTGCACAGAGATAAAGTAAGGAGGTGTCAAATATGTCTCATAGATAACTTTCTAAAGGGCATTGGTAGTGGGTTCCTCCTGGGCTTCAGGGACTTCATGT